CAATTTAAATTCGTGAAAGGGGTTAGCATGCTGGTGGAGTATGCGGTAGACACTGTTGATAATTGGCAGTGATAGACCCAGGTCACGCACCAGTGCAGACATTTCAATTGATGCATGGTAGCCTTCTGCAATCATGGCCATTGATTGCATTGCTTTGTTTACCTGTAGACCCCGGCCAATAAGATTACCCAATGTTCTGTTGCGGCTGAAATCAGAATATGCAGTAACAAGCAAATCTCCAAAATAAGCAGACTGGTGCAGGCACCTTATTCCTGGATGTATGGCATTTAGAAATTGCTCAATTTCGCGCATGGAATTGCTCACGATCACTGCCTGAAAGTTGACGCCATAGTTGAGGCCATCGGCAATACCGGCAGCTATGCCAATAATGTTTTTTAGTATAGACACATATTCAACACCCGTGGGGTCAATATTGGCAACTGTATGAATATAGGGCGCAGTTATGCTGTTGCATATTGAGTTCACCAGCTCAATATTTTCTCCCGCAATGGTAATATAGGTTTCACCTCCGGTAGCAATTTCTTCTGCATGGCAGGGGCCCGCAATCACCATGGGCGATTTTGTTGTATGGAGTTGTTTGCTCAGGTAAATACCTGGTGTGCTCCCCGTACCAGGAATAAATCCCTTGATAGAAACTGCCAGTTGCTTATTTTCCAGTAAAGCCGGGTCAATATCGTTTATTAATGCTGCCAGGTAGGCGGCCGGCAGTGCGAAAATGATCAGATCTGCCTTTTCCAGTACTTCTTCCGGATTGGCAGAAGGACAAATATGAGATATTCGAAGCGCTGCAAAGCGCAGGTACCGGGGGTTCCTTCCAGTTGCCAGAATGTCTGCGGCCTGTTGGTTATCCCGCACCAGCCAGGAAACTATGATGCCGCTTTCAGAGAATACTTTAACAAGGGCAGTGGCCCAGCTTCCACTGCCTATGACAGCAACTTGTTGCGGTACGTTTTTAATAGCTGATTTACCGTAGTTATTCATAAGCCAGGTGTTAAGCATTGCATAGTAGTTACAGCGTTGTTATTCACGTATAGCCATTAACTACCATAGCCATAAGACAATGTCTTTAACCTGGTTGGAAGTAATAGAATGGCTCATTTAATAGCTGCGAAGGTATCTGCCGGGTATGAGAAGGACATTAAGCTGACGTTAGAATGCCATTAGAAGGAAATCGGGAATATCATTGGAAGAAAGACCTGGAGCTTAGCCATCAGCTGTATTTCCGTATAGATGGTACCGTGCTGCATTTACGGGTTATAGTTTCTCCACAGAGAAATTTTGCCTCTTTTTTTATTGTTAATTGATTCGAGTATCAGTTCATTTTCTGTTAGTGCTGACACCGCATATTTCCATATATTGCCGTTCATTAATATGTATAATACGTTTCTGTCGTCATCGTAATTCCATACGGCTTCTGCCTGCATGGAACGGTTGAAAAAAATATAGCCATCCTGCAGGAAACGGATACTGCTGATTGAATCAATTGGAAAGGCTGCCATGGTAAAATTGGCTATTTTGTTTATGTTCCATTGATGACAAAGCAATGAGGGTGCTGACTGCTGCCTGGTTTTCCCTGCCCTTGTTTGCCCTATCGCAGTCTGCGGAAAACTTAACCATAGAATTAACAGGTATAGTAACACATACTTCAACGTTATGCGAATGCAATTCAGGCAGATGCCACTGGAATATTGATGAGTTCCTTCATTCGGGTTAGAGAATATTTTGCTGCGATGATATTTTTCCATTGTGACTGGTTTGTTTTTAAAGCACTAAATGTGTTCAGTTGATTTATTATCCGGTCAATAAACCTTGTAATGATATAGCCATTAACTTTTCTTTTTTCCATGGCTTTAACCGCGGCCCGGACAAAACGTTCCGTTTCCTCTCCGGAATGTGCGTATAAAATTTTGATCACCAGTTTTGCCCTGAATTTGTCTAATGATAATGATAGTGACATAAATATTGGTTTTAGTTTTTTTTGGAATTAGACGAAGCATTCTTATTATATCATTAATAACCATTTACAAGCTACCAGCAATAGATTAGCCTGGTATTAGACTGGGATTAGAAAGATATTAGAATTCCGTAAGCGATTAAAAGCCAATTGTAAGCGTCCCCAAAGTTCGGCAGTATTAAATTAGAGAAAATCTTTAATTTTAAAACTGTCATTATGCAAAAGTCAAAATTCACAGAGAGCCAGATAGTGGCTGCTATCAAGAAACAGGAAAGCGGTGTACCTGTAAAAGAAATCAGCCGGGAACTGGGTATCAACCAGGCAACTTTTTATAACTGGAAAGCCAAATATGGCGGCATGGAAGTCAGCGATGTCAAGAAAATGAAGGACATGGAAGCTGAACTGAGCCAGTATAAAAAG